AAATAGTACATTTTGGGTGTGCTCTTCATATCTGAGAGTCAAATAGTGCGCTTACAGCGCAGTTGTAAAAATTCGAATTGTTTTGCTGCTAATTTACTAAATAGTACATTTTCGGTGTGCTCTTCATATCTGAGAGTCAAAAAGAAGCGTCAAATAGTGCGCTTACAGTGCAGTAGTAAAAATTCTAATTGTTTTGCTGCTAATCTGCTAAATAGTACATTTTGGACGTGCTCTTCATATCTGAGAGTCAAATAGAAGCGTCAAATAGTACGCTTACAGCGCAGTTGTAAAAATTCTAATTATTTTGCTGCTAAAGTGCTAAATAGTAAATTTCGGGCGTGCTCTTCATATCTGAGAGTCAAAAAGAAGCGTCAAGTAGTGAGCTTACAGCGCAGTTGTAAAAATTCTATTTGTTTTGCTGCTAAACTGCTAAATAGTATTTGGGTGTGCTCTTCATATCTGAGAGTCAAATAGAAGTGTCAAATACTGTGGTTACAGCGCAGTTTGACCAATTCAATTTTTTTTTGGGTGCTAAATAGTACATTTGCAGCCTGCACTTCATACCTGATAGTCAAATAGAACCTTCATATACCAATATAACAATATTGTAATTGGGGGGCAATACCCTCACAAGTCATAGGGAAAACTGTTGCCTGGATACAATTCTAAAACAATTCCCATATGTCCTTTGCAGAGTTTACATGCTGGAAAAACACAGGTGCCAACTGCTGTGGCTTTCTGCAGTGTGCAGACCAGCAAGGAGGGCAGGGTTGAGGAGTAGGTGGAAGATGATGTGGAGGATGATGAGGTCCTAGACCCCACATGGAATCAAGGTCATGCGAGTGACGTGTGCAGTTTGGAGGAAGAGGCGCTGGTCGCACAGAGGCACCAGCACAGCATAAGAGGGAGCAGGGTGCAAAAGCGGAGCGGCCGTCCCCTAGCGCTCGTCGGCATGTATTAGCTCATGAATTACCAGTTATCCATGTAACAGATGTAGCGATCAAAGGATCCATAAAAGAGTTGAGCAAACCAGATTTAACGAGCCATTCGTAGTTTCACAGTCAGGAGAGCAGTCCGGTGACCGGGACCCAGACACTGTCTGGGCGGCGGTCGGACGACCGGGACCCAGTATGCCTGATGTTGAAGTTAGGAGTCACAGTGTGGAATGGATTAGCAGGGTCTGGTGCAGGGTAACCGCATGTCCCCTGATGTTGAGCACCAACGTTTGTGCGGCCACATACCAGGACCCTGATGCAGCTTCAGTAAAAAGAGTACTGGATACCAAAAGCCATCACCAGACTTGGAACAAGATGTGACATTCACTGTAGTGGCTGTGCACGCTTTCGGCATTCTCACCCTGCTGCTGCTCGCCTGTCTGCGCTGCAACGTAACTTTGGCCTTCCCACTCACCGCCTCATATGCGACGTGGCCACAAGGTAGAACTCCACCTTGCACATGCTGGAGAGACTGTGCGAGCAGCAGCAGGCAATAGTGGAGTTTCAGCTGCAGCATGCACGGGTCAGTTGCTCTGCACCAGACTTGCCCTCCAATTGATCAGAGTTAAAGGATTTCAAGTGGACTCATTACAATTACAGGGCCTCTAAAGAGTCCTGTATTGTTATTTGACGTCACTACTTTCCCGCGTCGGGAGTGGGTCATTTGCGCGCCTGCTGCCTTCCTTACATGTGGTAGCCATTTCTCAGATTCCCTCTCCGTAATCCAACCCTGATTCTCTGTTACCCGTGGTAACCATGGTAGGCGCAGTAAATGGCATTGAAAGTTGATATGGATGACATACAAATGCGTTGTCGCCTTATCGTTGGGGAGCCCATTGAAAAAGTGCTCTAGCATGACGAGCTGGGTGATCTCCTCCGGGAACTTGGCTTGATGGGAGTTGAGCCAGTTCTGGGTGGCCCTTATGATGCGGCATGCCCACTCTGCATGGAAGTCCTTCTCCCCTTTCTGGGTCTCCCTAAACTTTCGGCAGTATTGCTCGGGGGTGACCGCATATTGGGCCAGGAGGATTTGGGTAATAAAGGGATAGTCTCTGATCTGCTCTTCTGGTACAGCCCGGTAAATATCCACTGCCTTCCCCACTAGTTTGATGGCCAGGATGGTGACCCAGGATGGGGTCCATGTCTTGGAGTAGGCACTGGCGCTCAAAGTCTTGTAAAAAGTCATCGGTGCCTTCTTCTGCTTCATTTAAGTCTTTGAAGGCATTGTATGGTAGCTTGTGGGCCAGGGTGGTTGTGCTTTCCGGCGCCCTCTGCTCCCTTCTTCCTTCATCTGGGTTCATGGAGGTTGCCCTCTGTCTAGTGGCAAGCATATAGGCTTGCACCTCCAAAAAGGTCCTGCTGAAAATCTCCTCTGAGGGTGGCTCTCAGTAATATGCCAGGCGCCGTTACACCTCCTTGCGCACTTTCTCCTCATCTTCTGCTGCTGCTCGCCTGTCTGCGCTGCAGCGTAACTTCGGCCTTCCCGCTCACCGCCTCATGAGAGTGTGTGAGCAGCAGCAGGCGATAGTGGACTTTCAACTGCAGAACGCACGGGTCAGTCGCTCTGCGGAACAGAGTTGTCTTTTTTTATATGTCCCAATATTTTGGGGGCTACCCTAATTAAAAAACATATATATATATATATATATATACATATATATATATATATAAAACAGTGTTGGCCTCCTCCTCCTCCTCCACCGCTGCTTCCACCTACACCGCCACGGTCACCGCCTCCTCAACCTATGGGTCATGTAGTATAAACTATGTACACAATAGCAAAGGCTTGTGAAGGCCTTTTCTCCATGCATCAGGAGTTGAGCTCAGTTTGAACATTGAAAGAGAATACCCTGCACTCCAGCCCTCTCTCAAATGGGTAATTCTGGTGATCCTCCTGACAGTAGTGATGTACCGAACGGTTCGCCGGCGAACGGTTCCTGGCGAACATAGCATGTTCGCGTTCGCCACGGCGGGCGAACATATGCGCGGTTCGACCCGCCCCCTATTCGTCATCATTGAGTAAACTTTGACCCTGTACCTCACAGTCAGCAGACACATTCCAGCCAATTAGCAGCACAGCCTCCCTAGCAGACCCTCCCACCTACTGGACAGCATCCATTTTAGATTCATTCTCAAGCTGCATGCTTAGTAAGAGGAGGGAAAGTGTAGCTGCTGTTCATAAGATAGGGAAAAGCATAGCTAGGTTAGGGATAAGGGTATGCTTTTTTTTAATTTATTTTTTCTATGTAATGTAAATGCACTTAGTTGTCTGCCACTGCTGCCAGCTTCTGTGTCAGGCTCACAGTGCCTATTTCCCCAGTCAGCGCCGCCAATTACA